ACGCATTCAACAAGGAACTTCAAAGTTGGGACTCCTATTTGGAACAGCTAAACCAACATTTTCTTGCATACGCTGTCTGTGCACCAGAAAAGAAAAAGTCATTTTTCTTGTCGTGGCTGGGAAGCGACACGTTCGAGCTCTTGAAGAAACTTCTCGGCAGTCAGGATTTGCAAACTCAAAACTATGTCGATCTAACAGTAAAATTGTCAGACCACTTCAAGAAAGAAGTTCACGTGATTTCTGCGCGTTATAATTTTAACAAATGTAGCATGAAGCCGAACCAAAGCTACAAAGAGTGGGTAGCGGATTTGCGAGGGTTAGCTCGTCAATGCAATTTTGTTTGTAATGCCGATAATTGCGCTCATGAGTACATTGATGAGATGATACGAGATATGATAATGTTAAATACTCCGCACGATTCCGTTCGCACCGCGGCGTTACAAAAACGCAACCCAACGTTAGCAGAAGTTCTACTCATAGCTGAATCATTTGAGAGCACAACGAAAGCAGTTCAGTCTCTTAAGGAACCGCTGGCCTCTTCAGGCGAAGCCACTTCATTGGTAAACGCAGTTCAAAGCTCAAAAGCTTCTCTTACATCTCGGGTTAGTAACAATAACAAGCAGAGTATGTACAAGTCATGCTCAGGCTGTGGTAGCTCACATAGCCGCGAGCAGTGTAAATTTAAAAATGCTGTGTGCCGTAAGTGCGGTAGAGTAGGGCATATAGCACCGGTATGCATGTCGAAAGGTGCGAACAAGAACATGAAGAAAAACACAACTGAGCAACAATGCACACAGAAAACTTCCAAGCGAAACAACAAACATAGGTGTAATGAGGTGGATACAATCGAAACAATTTACTCCGTGACAGGCATCGTGAAGCAGCAGAAAAATAAAAATTTCATCGACTTAAAAGTAATGAATAAACTAATAAAGTTCCAGATGGATTCCGGTGCGTCTCTTTCTATTATAACGTTAGAAACTTACAAAGAACTAAATAAGCCACCACTCAGCCCGTGTAATAGGTCGATATTCGGATTCGGCAACAACAAAATCCACACTCTTGGGGAGCTAAAAGTAAATGCCATATGTGGTGCAAAACAAAAGCAAGTCAATTTGGTGGTCGCTCGCGTGCACAGTGGTAATAATCTGTTCGGTGCAGATCTTTTCGAAGCCTTTGGGTACAAAATAAAACAAGTGCTCAATATTAATGACTCAATGCGCGAAGTAAATGCGCTCTTAGAAAAATACAGTCGAGTTTTTGAGCCAGCCCTAGGCACCGTAAACAATTTTAAAGCAGGTGTTAAACTAAAACCCGATGCCCTGCCAAAATTTTTTAAGAGCAGGCCTATTCCGTTCGCACTCATGCCTAAATTCAGCGAAGAGGCAAATAGGCTGGTTAACGCTGGAATTTGGAAACCGGTGCAATTTAGTGAGTGGGCATCACCTATAGTTCTCGCGTCAAAGCCCGACGGTTCAATTCGGATATGTGGAGACTTTAAGGTGTCGATAAACAAACAAATTGATGTCGAGCGCTATCCGTTGCCAACGCGGGAAACCTTGCTTCATGTAGTGCGGTACGGCAAGCAGTTTTCTAAAATAGATCTGAAAGACGCATATTTGCAGTTAGAGTTAGACGAAGAAGCAAAACAGGTTTTAGTGGTGAGCACGCCTTTGGGGCTATTCCAGTTTCAACGCATGCCATATGGCATCGCAAGCGCCCCAGCAATTTTCCAAAAATTTTTGGAGCAGCTTTTACATGGTATTGAGGGTTGTGCAAATTATCTAGACGACATCATTGTGACCGCACCAACAGTCGCAGAGCACCTAGAGCGATTAAATGAAATTTTCATGCGCCTCCAAACCAGTGGTATAAAATGCAAAAAGGAAAAGTGCATGTTTCTCCAAGACGAAATTGAGTATTTAGGCAGAAGAATCAGTGCTAGGGGTATTTCACCAGACGAGGCAGGGGTGAAGGCTGTTAGAAAACTACGCAGTCCGCAAAATCTTAATGATCTTGAAGCCTTCCTAGGTAAGGTTAATTATTACCATAATTTTATTCCGAATTTTTCACAACTAGCAGCGCCTCTCAACCAGCTGCGTCGGAAGAACGTCCATTTTAATTGGGGAAAGGCGCAAAAGCACGCCTTTGCATCTTTATAGTGAGGGCAGCGCAGTTAGCGCATTACCAAGAGCACCTACCTCTTCTTCTTGCTACTGATGCATCTTCGCACGGCATAGGCGCTGTGATCTCACATACTTATCCAGATGGCACAGAGAGGCCAATAGCTTTTGCATCTAAAACGCTTGACCAACACCAGATAAAATACAGCCAGATTGAAAAAGAGGCCTTATCCATCGTATTTGGGGTACAACGATTTCATCAATACCTGTATGGCCGTAAATTTACGTTGATTACGGACCACAAACCGCTTGTGAGCGTCTTTAGTCCGGACAAGCATTTGCCTACGATGACGTCACACCGACTCCAACGCTGGGCAATTACCTTGATGGCCTATCAATATGACATTCGTTATAAACCAACAGCGCAACATGGGAATGCCGATGCACTGTCGCGGTTACCTATCGCAACTGATCCACAGTTCGACAAAGCCGAAGCTTGCTTTAATGTGGATCATCTCGAAACACCTGTAAACCCCAAGTTGATACGAAAACATCTAGAAGCAGATGACATTCTAAAGAAAGTTCGCAGCCTTATACGTAATGGCTGGCCGAAGCACCTAACCGCAAGCGATTCGCATATTGTACCATTTTTCAACAAAAAGCTTTCTTTAACTGTTAATAATAACATTATTTACTTGCAGGGCCAAGCAAACCGAGTTGTTATTCCAATTTCATTGCGCAAACGTATTTTGCAGCTTTTACATGACGGCCACTGGGGCGTTGTGAAGATGAAGCAGCTTGCGCGCAGCTACTGCTGGTGGCCCGGTATTGACAAAAACATCGAAAACGTTGCTAAGGAGTGCGAAAGTTGTAAAACTAATTCATCTAGCCCAGCTTGTGAGTACAGTAATTGGCCAGTAGCCACGCGACCATGGGAGCGTGTTCACATTGATTTTGCCGGCCCTATATTCAATTATATGTGGCTCGTGTGCGTAGACCCGTACTCTCAATACCCCTATGTGACACAAATGAAAACAACGACGACAGCTGACACCATTATGGCGCTCTCCGCTATATTCGCTATTGAAGGGCTCCCCGAAACGCTAGTCAGCGACAATGGGCCACAGTTAACGGCCGATCTCTTCAAAAAAATTTTGTGCCGGCAATGGCATAAGGCATATCACATCAGCTCCTTTCCACCCTGCGTCAAATGGCTTAGCTGAGCGTTTTGTGCGTACTTTTAAAGCGGCAATGTTAAAAAATATACAAGATGGGTTGCCAATTTCCGCTGCTTTAATAAAGTACCTGTCGACTTATCGCTCAGTACCCAATGCTGCAGGTAAGACGCCTGTTCAATTATTGCATGGTCGTACCGTACGCACCTTGCTGTCGCAAACGTTGCCAATTACTCATAAACAAAATGAGTCAAAACAATACGACAGCCCAAAGTTTAAACCTTCGCAACCGGTATACTTTCGAAATTACTCGCGAGGTTCCAAATGGGTGAAAGGTCACATCGACAGAGTGCTGGGAAAAATGATGTACGTCGTGGACACTCCGAAAGAAAGATATGAAGAGCTTCCGCTTGCAAAATCATACCCGGACGTCGCTATACAAAAACGGCTGTCTGGAGCAGAGCGCGTTGTTGAACGCAGCTCTAATGCTGCCGCTGATCCGAGCACATCACTTCGAGAATTGTCCGTAGCTGAACCACTTCGTAGAAGTGAGCGCAACAGAAAGCCAGTGGATCGCTTTGAGGCCGAAGATTTTCGGAAATAGGGGGTGTATAAATGTTATATATTCAACTATTGCTGTGCTGGTATTCTTAAAGAACTAGCTTAATCTGGCAACATTGTTAACAGTGAATTAATATGTACATGGGCATATGTATGTATACTTTATGCATACTCTGTTATACTCTAACTACAAGTATATAACATCTGTTATTGGTAATGTTAAACCTCTTGACATTTAAGCTTTTACTTATGTTTAGTTTTTAATAAAGTTTAGTTGCATATCAACCGTTGTTTCACTTGGATTCATCA